GCCACACCAGCCAGGGCTATGTGCCATTTTAGATGTAAGATTTTGTTGTCTCAGGAAAGAGAAAAGCAGGTGTGGAAGGAATCAGTGTAGGTCAGCACCTAATCTTTGGGAGTTCTTTATATTGCAATCTCATTTGATCTTTAAACCAATGAGAAATTGGGGCTGAGAGAGAGTAGGTAGCTCACTTACAGTCATGAGCAGCTAGGAAAAGGAAAGCCAGGATCCCCCTCATTTCATTTCACCCCATCCCTGGTCTCCACCTTTCCTGGGGTTAAAAGGAGATTCCTGGGATTCCTCTGTCCAATAACCATTTAGTCTGTAGTTTGTCTTTAGAGTAAAAATTTCATCTGTGGAATCAGTCTCTTGAAACTTAATTCCGAGGCGTTTTCATAACTCTATCACACACCTTCGCCAGCAGGTTGGCGCTATCTTGATCTGCCCCAAGACTCTGCTTTGCTTGAACAGATATGGACTCAGCACCTATTTATGTCCCAGGCACAGGTCTGCAGTTTTAAGAAACAGGTGTGACATGTCCATCTTTCTAGTCTCCCAGGGAAACACATTTTGAGAGGAGGTAAAGCCAGTGTAAAATCCTGGCAGCAGGAGAGAGCTGACTGCATCGAGTGACAAGGGAGGTGTGTGGAGGTGACATCTAAGCAGTGAGCACAGACCACACCTGACCTCATAGGCCCTGCTAAAGATTTTCAGTTTTATTCAGAACCTGGTGGGAAGTTTTGAGCAGGTGACAGACATGAGCTAGTTTAGCTGCTAGAAAGTATCCCTCGGGGATGCTTTGCAGGGAAAAACTGTCATAGAGGGCACAGGACAGTGTGACAAGCCCAGAAGCAGGCGCCTCAGGTGGAGGCCTTGGTGGTGATCCAGGGGAGAAATGACTGGGGTTGGCTTCCTGCTTCAGTCATAGATTTGGTGAGAATGGATGAAGTTTATAATATAATTCTTAACATGGTGGTGACTGGACTTGTTAAATGGATAATGGGATATCAGAGAAAAGAGGAATCAAGGAAGATGCCTAGACTTTTGGACTGACTGACTTCGTGAAGGATGTACCCATTTAATTATGTGAAGAAGTCTTTGGGAGGAATGGATTTAGGAAAGAGCTTAAGAGTTCCAGTTTGTAGATGTTTGGTTTTAGAAGTCTGTAATATAACTCTCTGGAGTTAGGAGTTGAGTAACCAGTCCACAGTTTACAGCAAAGGTTGGATCTGCAAAATACACATTTGGGAGTCAGCAGGGTAGGGAGGGAGAAGGGAGCTAAAGACTGAGCCCCAGAGTTGTGGGGTGCATCCTCCGGTTCCATCTGTTCTGAGACTCTCTGTGGTTACGCTGACAGAGCAGCGGCTTTGCTCTGGGCCCAGCAACCCCAGAGACCAGGACTCCTGAGCTCCATCACGAGTCCCCAGTCCATAGGCTGAGCAGAGAGAAGGGTAACCTTGTTTTTTTGTGTAAATCACTAACTCCTTGTCCTCTCATGCCCTGCGCCCTGCTCCTGAACATCACTATGGTGTGTTTCACTGAGAAGTCAGCCTTCATCTCCATAGGTTCCCGGAGGCTCTGTTGTGTCTGTGCCAGGAGGAGTTCCCTGGCCATCCTCTTCTTTGGGGGCCCTGGCAGCATCTGTCCTGTTTACTGTGAGACCCTGAGTGGGGTGTAGTATTACTGCAGGAATGTGGCAGAAGTCAGGCATCTGTTTTTAACTTCTAGGGAAGCTGCCCTGTTCGTACTGTTGTTCATTGTGTGATACACTGTGAAGTGTCTGCTTATGGTCAGGTAGTTAATGGAGTTCTGTGAGGACCAGGGAGGACTCATGGACCAGGGAAGGCCTCACAGACCAGGGCTCCCATTCAAAGTTATCTGGCTTTGGTGTCATCCACGTATCCAGGCTGGGCAGTGGTAACTGCCGGCCAGGGTTAAAGTGAGACAGGCAGTAGAGGCAGAACGTTCTCAGGACTGGTGCAATTATGTTGCCTGATGTTACCGCAGTCCACATAAATTGAATATAGGTATTTAAATACACAAGCACTGGTGGTGAATGTGTTTGTAGAATAAGGCAGAGTAGAGACCCTGAGATGTATTGAGTTATCACCCAAGAAAGCCTGGTTCTTCTCGCCGATGCAGTAAAGAATTACAGGTCAGTGAGCCTATTAGCACGCAAGCAGTTTATTAGTGAATGGGAGAGCAAAAGCAAGGGTGGCCAAAGGCCTGGGGGGGCCACCACCCAGGTGGCCAGAGGCCCTCCGGCCAGAGGTCCCCTACGTGGCAAGAGAGCCATGAGCCCCCAAAGAGAGTCCTTTGTTCTGAGGACTTACATAGTTGGCAGGGTCAGGGTGAAGAAGTTTCATATTGATTGACAACTAAAGGTGGTGCCAGTTTTCCTGGGGAGACATGACTACCCAAATGTAGGTATGGGTGGGGGTGTGTTAGCCCAAATTCTTTTCTTGCTGTAGATTCTATTTGTTCAATAATAAAAAAATAAACGATTCGGTTGCAGACATTTGAAGATTGGGAGAATGCTGCAGGTAAGCATCCCTGCCCAGCCCAGCACAGCTGGGCGGATATTGGCAAGATGTGGCATCACAGCTGGAACATCCCAGCAAATTCCAGTAAGGCAAGGTATGTCCTGCTGCGCCTGCTCTCTCTCTCTCTCTCTCTGTCCCGTTCTCTCTCTGATCTCTCCCTGCCCCCCTCTGATCTTTTTTCAGATCTCTGATCTCTCTCTCCCTCTCTTTCTCATTTCTCTGATTTGTCTCCACTCTGATCTGTCTCTGATCAGTCTTCGTTCTCTGATTCCTGTCTGTCTTTGATCTTTCTCTCTGCTTTCTCTTATATTTTTCTTTCTGTTTGATCTCTTTCTGCTACCTGTTTCCATCTCTAATGGATAATTTCTGTCTCCCCCTTTTCTTTCTCTGGTCTCTTTCTTTTTTCCCTCATGTTTCTTCTTCTTCTTCTTTTTTTTTTAGATTTTATTTATCTTTAGAGAGGAAGGGAAGGAGAGGAGAGAAACATCAATGTGTGGTTGCCTCTTGTGAGTCCCCTGTCGGGAACTGGCCTGCAACCTAGGCATGTGCCCTGACTGGGAATCGAACCGTGATCGAGTGGTTCGCAGGCCCGTGCTCAATCCACTGAGCTATGCCAGCCAGGTTTCCTTCATCTTTCTTTCTGATCTCTCTGATAATGTCTATCTGTTCTCTGATCTCTCCCTCCCCCTCTCTCCTTTGATTTCTTTCTATCTGATCTCTCTACTGTATGATCTCTTGTTTCTGCTCTCTCTTGTTCACATCTCTCTGATCTTTTTCTGATTTTTCTCCCTCTCTTCTCTCATTAGCTCTGATTTCTATCTGAGCTCTCTTATCTTTCAGATCTCTCTCTCATCTTTTTGTCTTTCAGATCTCTCTCTTTCAGATATTTCTGATCTTTCTCTCTCTGATCTGCTTTCTATCTCTGCTTTTGAAGATCTCTGTGTCCCTCTCTCTAATCTTTATCTCCCTCTCTGATCTGTTTTCTGTGATCTCTGTCTCCATCTTTTTTTATGATTTTTAAAATTTATTTTTAAAGGTGGGGGAGGGGGGAGAAGGAGATGATACACTGATGTATGAAAGAAACATCGACCTTGCCTGCAATCCAGCCATGTGCCCTGATGGGGAGTTGAACCCGTGACTTTTTGGTTAACAGGCCAGTACTCAACCCACTGAGCCACACCATGGACAACTCTCTCTCTTCTTTATAAAATCTGTTTCTCCTTATCATCTCTCTTCTGCCTCTGATCTCTTTCTAAACTGTCTGTGGTCTCTTTACCCTATCTGATCTCTCTCCCCCATCTATGATACCTCTTTGTACTGATCTATGTCTCCCTCTCTTTTCTTTGACCTCACTCCCTAGACTACACTAGATTAAATTGTGAGGTTACAAGGTAGGCCCTTCCCCCAGAGCCAGGGACGTAACCAAGTAGGACCAATTTAGATAGCGTATACTAGACTAGATTACATAGTGAGTTTGTATGTAGACCTCATTCCCAAGATCTGACAATGGACCAAGACAGACTACATAAAACTAGACTACACTGTAATACACCTCCTCTTCCCTCATAGCTGCCCATGGAGCCAAGACAGGCTATACTAGACTACACTAGACCAGACTAGTCTACACTGAGCTAGACTAGACTGTGAGGTGTGTAGGTAGTCCTCTTCCACCAGAGCTGGCCATGGAGCCAGGGTACATTAGAAAAGGCTAGAGTGTGAGGTTTGAAGGTAGGCCTCTTCCCCAAGTATTGGTCACAGAGCCAACCTGTACTAGACTAGACTAGAGTGGGCTCCAATAAACTAGACTAGTCTGGACTACCATGTGAGTCTGATAGGTAGGCTTCTTCCCCTGGAGCCAACCACGGAGGCAAGACATACTAGACTGTGAGGTTAGATAACCCTCTTCCTCCAGAGCCAGTCACATTGTCAAGAGAAACTAGATTATACTAGCTTTAAATAGATTAGGCTATAGTGTGAGGCTGGTAGGTAGGCCTCTGCCCTTAGAGCCAGCAATAGAGGCAGGGAAGTTAAAGACTTGTACACTGAAGCCTACAAATAATTGCTGAAAGAAATCAAATACTGAATAAATAGAAAGGCATCCTGTGTCATGAATTAGAAGACTTAATATAGCTAAGTTGGTAATACTCCCCAGACTGACCAATGTGATGTCTATCAGAATCACAATGGCAGTGCAAGGGACCCCAGCAGCCAAAACCATCTTAACGGAACAATACTGGAGGTCTCACACTTAATTTTCAAAACCTACTACAGAACTATAGTAATCAAAGCGGCATGGTACTGGCTTAAATATAGATGTATAGATCAGTGGGAAAAATACTTTGGTGTGGGTTACATGACCATTAGCTGGTAAAAGGACAGTCTTTTCAACAAATGGTGCTGGGAAACTGGGTGGCCACAAAGGCACAGACAATGAAAGAAAAAAACCGATAAATGAATACTTACCTGACAGGGGAGACACTATGATCACAAAGGTAGTTTTCTCAGGATGAGCCTTATCCATTGCACTCCAGATGTGCTGACCCTTGTGATTTCCCCAAATATGGGAAACCCGACTGCATAATTTGTGGTTGTCTGGGAGAGGTGGGGACTGTGTGTGTGCTCTACCCTAAAAAAAAAGAAAAGAAAAATAGACTTCTATGAAAATTAAAAATTTTTTTTCATCAAGAGACACTATCACTCTGGCAGGTGTGGCTCAGTTGGTTGGAGTATTATCTTGTAAACTGTAAGGTCACAGGTTCAATTCTTGGCCAGAGCACATGCCTAGGTTTCCGGTTAGATCCCCCGTCAGGGGCGTATGGGAGGCAACAGCTCAGTATTTTCCTGTTTTTATTTCCCCCTTCCCTTCTCTAAAGTTAACAAGCATGTACTCATGTGAGGAGTAAGAAAAAAAGATTTCAACAATAAAAACTCAACTCACAATACTTGCCTGGCAGGAGAGAGACCATGATAAAGGAGGTAGTTTCTCTAGGGCAAAGCTCCTCCACTGCACTCCAGGTATGCTGACCCGTGATTTCCCCAAATGGGGGAAACTCAACTGCATAATTGGTGGAAACGAGGGACTGCATTCACATTTTCCTGTGGGGGGACCTCAAAATGGCAGAAAATATTGCCAAATCACACATCTGATGAAGGATTAATATCCAGAATACATACAGAACTTCTGAAAGTCAACAAAACCCAACCCAATTAAAAAAAAATGGGCAAAGAGGTGTTTCTGCACCCATGCTTGTAACAGCATTATTCACATTAGTTTATATGTGGAAGCAACCCAAGCATCCATTAACTGGTGAGTATATGAGCAAAATGTGAAATACGCATAAAATGGGAGTATTATGTAGGCCTAAAAAGGAAAAGTTCTGACACATGCTACAACACGAATAACCGTGAGGACATTGCACTAAATGAAATAGCCAGCCACAGAAAGACAACGGTATGATTCCTCTTATATCAGGTACTTAGGAGTAGTCAAATGGTAAGGACAAAGTATAAGGGTGCCCTTACCAGTGTGGCTCAGTCAATTGTCATCCCACAAAGTGAAAGGCTGCCTGGTCAGTTCCTGGTCACATGCTGCAAACTTCAATTCCAAGGCTGCAGACTTGGTTCCCAGTTGGGGCATGTATGAGAGGCAACTGATCAGTATTTCCCTCTCTCTTCTCCCCCTAAAAATAAAATATTTTTCAAAAGTACAGAGGACTTCCGCCAAGATGGAGGCATAGGTGGATGTGCCGTGCCTTCTCACACAACCAAGTTTAGAGACAACTAAATCTTAGCAACAGAAAACACAGCCAGAACACAGAAAATTGAACTTTTCGGAAGTCTGTTAACAACAAATTCTTCAGTCTGACCGGTAAGGGGCGAAACCAGCAGCTGGTGGAGCAGGGTTGCACAGGAAAACTCGGTCAGACGACTCAGGTGCGCAGAATCCAGGCGGCAGGGTTGGACCTAGTGAGTGACAGAGCGAGCTAGCGAGCGACCGAGCGAGCGACCACAGGGAAACAGCAAGGGAGCAGGGCTGCGGGTTGACTGTGGTCGCTCATTTGTGCACGGATAGACAAGCGAGAGAGTGGGCAATTGGACCGGGACCCAGCGGTCCCCATGGCAAGCAGCAGGGAGGGCGCGGCCATTTCCCTGCTCTGACCCCACCTCCACATACAGCGTCATAACCCAGCAACTCTGAGTTGCCCGGCCGTATTGAACCACCTAAGGCTCTGCTCTGACCCTGCGGTGCGTTAACAACAGAGGGTGCTGCCATTTCCACGCTCTGACCACGCCCCCACATACAGCGTCACAACCCAGCGACCTGGGAGTCCAAGGCTCCGTTCCTCACACTTAAAGGGCCAGAACAGACCAAAAATGGCTCAAGAAGAGCTCAAAGCCACGGAGCCTATAAATTTAAGCAATGAAGAAATAGCAAAACTCTCAGACGCACAGTTTAAAACACTGGTGATCAGGATCCTCACAGAACTGTTGATTATAGCCACAAATTAGACAAATATATGAAGGCGAAACTAATTGAAATGAATGGAATTGCACAGGACACCAATAGCAATGAAAAGGAAACTGGGACTCAAATCAATGGAGTGGACCAGAAGCAAGCAAATAATGGCCAAACAGAAAAGAGTCAAGAAGCAAGAATTCAAAGAAATGAGGAGAGTCTTAGGAACCTCCAGGACATCTTTAAACGCTCCAACATCCGAATTATAGGGGTACCAGAAGGGGGGAAAAGCACAGCCACCAGTGGAAAACTTATTTGAACAAATAATAAAGGAGAATTTCCCCAATCTGGCAAAGGAAATAGACTTCCAGGAAATCCAGGAAGCTCAGAGAGTCCCAAAGAAGTTGGACCCAAGAAGGAACACACCAAGGCACATCGTAATTAAATTAGCCAAAATTAAAATGAAGGAGAGAATCCTAGAAGCAGCAAGAGCTAAGGGGACAGTCACCTACAAAGGAGTCCCCATCAGACTGTCAGTGGATTTCTCAAAAGAGACCTTACAGGCAAGAAGGGGCTGGAAAGAGGCATTCCAAGTCATGAAATCCAAAGACCTACAACCAAGATTGCTCTATCCAGCAAAACTTTCATTTAGAATGGAAGGACAGATAAAGTGCTATCTCAGATAAGGTCAAATTCAAGGAGTTCATCATCACCAAGCCCTTATTATATGAAATGTTAAAGGGACTTATCTAAGAAAAAGAAGTTAAAGAAACATGAACAGTGAAAGGACAACAAACTCACAGTTATTAACAACCACACCTAAAACAAAAGCAAACTAAAAGGACAGCTAGATCAGGAGTGGAAACATAGAAATGAAGATCTCAAGGAGGGTTAGCAACAGGGGAGTGGGAGGAGGAGAAGGGGGGAGAAGGTACAGAAAATAAGTAGCATAGACAGTAGATAGAAAATAGATGGGGGGGCAAGAATAGCATGGGAAATATAGAATCTAAAGAACTTGAGACACATGGTCATAAACTAAAGGGGGGGAATGGTGGGGATGGAGGGGTAGGGTGGAGGGGAATGAAAGGGGGAATAGAACAACTGTAACAGCATAATCAATAAAAAATTAAAAAAAAAGTACAGTGGTTGTTGCCAGAATTTGGGGGGAAGGGAGAAAGAGGAGTTGTTGCTTAACAGGTAAAGAGTTTCAGATTTACAAACTGAATTATGAGAAGCATGGTACATTTACACAATGGACTACTTACACAGCAATAAAAAGGAACTCTACCTATTTCGGCAGCATGAATATAAGAAATAAGCCGGCCAGTAAAATGTGAATACCACATGATCTCATTTACATGCTGAGTCTAACGTACAAAGTAAACAAAACAAATGGGAAGATACACAGAACAGATTGGCAGCTGTTGGAGGCAGGGTGAAGGGATTAGCCAAAGAACATTTCTGTATGACCTGTGTACTTAGACAACGATACAGGGATTAATGGAAGGGAGGGGATGAGGCTGGGTGCAAGTGGGCAAAGGGAAAAGGCAAGAACAACTGATAGTATAAGTAACACACACACAAAAAAAACATTAGCAAATTAGCATATAATTGAGGTATATTCGTGCAACAATACCATATCACAATGCAGGGTACAACACAGATGGGTCATGCAGTGTTGAATGAAGAAATGAGAAGAAAAGGTGAGTCACAAAAGACAACCTTTAGGAGTCCAGTGTGGGTACTACCACAAAATCACCTGAGGTGGGAATGGGGTACCAGGAGCTTTCAAGTCTACCCACGGGGAGAATATATATGTTTTATATGATTCTTGGTTGCTAAAAGTAACAGAGAAGAGAGTGTGACTAGAATAAAAGTGGAAATTTATGGGACCCAGGTTTGATTTAGAACCTTACTAGCGAGAGCCATTATCGTCATTGAAGAAAGGTCAGAACACCCATTTTCCAAAGCAAATTACAAAGAGAAACTGAAAGGAAGGGGGTGTTTTCAGATTAAATATGATGGTTTGTGTACATCTCCCAGTAAATCCCTACAAGATCCTTAATGCTAGAGGATGAATATTAACATTATAAAGGAAGAATCTGGCAGCCCTTCAACCAAGTGAACTGAGTTAAATTAACATCAGCTGCCTGATGCATGCAGCATCGTGTTGATAGTTTGAAAAAAAATCCCCACACATTCATAATATACATTTAGTCATGAGAAAATGATGGCTTTATGCAATTTCAAGCTACATAATGCTCTCATACGCTCTACTCTAGTGTATTTGAAATGGTAAGTCTCTAAAGCAATCTAGAAAGCAAGGCTGTCTTTCCTGTTCAGGACTTGGAGTTCTTTCAAGCCATATGGCAATTGTATGATTTTGTGCATTTTCCTAATCCTGGCTGTAGGGAAAATGGAGTCAGGCTCTCTCAACTGGATGTCCGAGCAAGCATAATTTAGCAGTGTTCATATAACCTTGAGTAGGGGCCTGCATGCGTAGAATGAAGCTCTGTTATATAACCTGAAGGACTGTATTGGCACCCCGGAGGCACTCCCATAAGGGAGTCGGGGCTTCCCCACAGTGTGACACGTGGCTTGTGATGTGACTGGGTCACACCACCACCTCCTGCCTCCCCCCAGAATAAAGGCATGTCAGACATCCCAACAGCTCTGTGAATTTTCTTCTGTTGCCTGAATCCTGTGTGAATCTGCCTGGCTGTGAGTGGCTGCTAAACATACCATATCCAGATGGGACATAAATATCAAATATTCCTCTTTTTCACTGGTATCCCAGGACTTAACCCCACCCCCAATGGGAATCTTGGTACCAACACATCATCATGTTGGTCTGACACAGAGGGATTATTTTCAGTAGTTGCAGGTTGTTAGTTCACGGTGAGCATCCCTTGCGCCGTACTGAGAAGCTGAGGGGACAGCATGGAGAGCAGGCTCTGGGATGTGAGAGGTACATTCTAAAGAACCGTGACTATCATTGACGCAGAGAAAGTAGTCAAAACCAAATTTTTTAAGAGGGCTACACGAGAGAAAGAAGTAAATGTTTGCTGGCTCTAAATCTACCAATTTTAAAAGGGTAAGCAGACATAGCCTCTGACCCAGGATAGATCCTTTACCTGAGAAGCAGACAAGACGTCCTTCTCCTTGGGGCAGGCCTTGGGGAACACAGCTTGGGGCTGTGTTCTCAGGCGATGATACATGCTCAGGAGTCACGTCTGCATGTTGAAGTCTGTACCTTCAAAGTGATCCGCACACCCCCTTTATCCACTTCCACCACACTCACAGAAGGACTTGGAATGCTGAAAAGGCCACCATCTCCTGTCCTTTGACACAGCAGAGTCAGGAACAGTGGGCCCCGCCATGGAGACCAAGCCCGGGTTTCGCCTTCCGTGTCTTCCCGGGCCTGTCCCTGCCCACAGACGCCCACACATGAGAACAGTGTGCCCTGAGCTCCCACCTCTCCTGAATCCAGGTCAACACATTATCTCCCTGAACCAAAGGCTGTGCTCAACGCTCACAAACATGTTCAGAGCCCTCCTCCCGGCATTAGCCTCACCTTAGAGTCACCTCCTTAAAACATCGAGGCTAAACCCAGACCAATAGACGCTGGGGGTAGGGCACAGGTGG